GGCCATATGACTAGCTCTGGCCAATGAGCTGTGGGCAGAAGTGACTCCGTTATCTCTCCCTGTGACCAAGACAAGGGACTGAGGAAGCTTTGTGCTAAGAGGTCAGAGCCATATAGTAAAGCATCCTACACTGAGTCTCTACATGCAGGAAAAATTTCCTGTAGAGTTACACAGACCTGCAGACTTTTCGTAAACTTAAGTCACTGTTAAGCTAAACCACAGAGATTTGAGGGTGCTTCTTAGTGTGTATAGTCTGACCTATCCTGTCTTATACAAATCACAAAGAGCAACATTTTGAGGTTCCTCCAAGAGCCTTCCAAGTCTATTTTTCTTCTCATTTTCTGCACTCCTCCCAGGGGATTTTATACATTTCCATGGCTTTAAAGATCATCTGTGTGTAGGTAACACACCTCCCAAGATTTCTCCAGGCAACTCTGGATCATACCTGCAGTCCTGGCATAGTCAGCCATGCCCCTTTCATTCTCAAAAATGCCCCAGTTTGGATGATTCTATTATTTGGTCACTTTATCTATATGCCAATTACAGATGTTCTTCCTTTTACAAAGGAATTGCCTCCAGATAAACCCATCGTAAGTCAAAAATGTATTTAATACTGGCAACACATCAGATGGTCCCCAACTTACATAGTTCAACTTATGACTTTTTGACTTTACAGTGGTAGAATCTACAACTCCCACATAAGTCGTAAGGAGCTCCTCATCTTACAATGAGGCTATGTCTGGATAAACCCATCATGAAGTTGAAAAATTCTAAGTTGAACCATTTTAAGTCTTGAACTGTCCGTACACCCGAATTGCCATCTCCAATTCTAGACCTCTCTTTAGAACTTCATACATCCCAGCCGTACACTCAACGTCTCATTTGTATCTCTCACAAGCACAGGAACCTGAAGTATAACAGTTTCTATACTTATTTTTCTTCTCACCTTTCCCAACTTGCTTCTTCTCCATAAAACCATACACCATTGCTCAAATTAGAAACACAACATCATCTTTGACAGCTGCCTTTCTCTCATCATCTATATTCAATCCTTCATCAAGACCAATCCTATCCATCACTCTTATTCAACATCGTACTGGAAGTCCTAGACCAGAGTAGCCAGAGAAAGAAATAAAAGGCATCCAAATAGGCAAGGAAGAAGTCAAGCTATCTCTGTTCACTGATGACAAAACCGTGTACTAGAAAATACTAAAAAGTCCTCCTAGAAACTTACAGACCTGATAAATGACTTTAGTAAAGTTTCAGGATACAAAATTATTAGTAGCATTCTACTAATAATTCTTAAGCTGAGAACAAAAACAAGAGCTTAATCCCATTTTTAAAAGCTACAACAAAAAAAATACCTAGTAATACACTTAACAAAAGATTTCTACAAGAACAAAAGTGTAAACTAGTACAACCTCTGTGGAAAACAGTGTGGCAATTCCTAAAAGATCTAAAAACTGACCTTCCATACAACCCCACAATCCCCCTTCTGGGAATATACCCGGAGGAACTCAAATCAGTCTATGAAAAAGATACCTGAGCACACATGTTTATCACAGCATTATTCACAATAGCAAAAACATGGAACCAATCGTGCTGCTCATCGAAAGTGGACTGGATTTTAAAATGTGGTACGTATACATGATGGAATATTACACAGCCATAAAGAAGGACAAAATTAGGAATTTCACAGCAACTTGGAAGGACTTAGAAACAAAGAATTGAGTACCACATGTTCTCACTCATAAGCAGACCCTGAACAATTATCATAATACTACAAGAAAAGAATTGGCAGTAGTGGGAAACTGCCATGGGCGGGGAAGGGCACACTTCATCAGTAAGGGTACCTGATGTCAAACCAGCTGAAATGGGGACCAAACTTTACCTTTACGATGGACCATTTGTATATCTAACCCCGAATTGTACCCCACATCTTTAAAATAAAAAATTTTTAAAAAGAAAGAAATTGTGACAACACAAATGGAAAAATATCCCATGCTCATGGATCAGAAGAATCATTATCATGAAGATGATCAGTGTCCAAAGCAATCTACAGATTCAGGGCAATCATTAAAAAATACCAACATCATTTTTCACAGACCTAGAAAAAAATAATCCTAAAATTTATAAGGAACCAAGAAAGAGCCCAAATAGCCAAAGCAATCCTAAATAAAAACAGAAAACGCAGAGGCATCACATTGCCCTACTTAAAATTAAAATTATGCTACATGGTGATAACTAAAACAGCATGATGCTGGTACAAGAATAGACAGTCAATGGAACAGAATAGAGACTCAGAAAAAAAGTCACATGCCCACAACCCACTGATCTTCAACAAAGCTGACAAAAATAAACAATGGGAAAAGGACACCCTGTTCAATAAATGGTGCTTGGAAAACTGGCTAGCCATATGCAGAAGAATAAAACTGAACCCATATCTCTCACTGTATACCAAAATTAACTCAACATGGATTAATGACTTAAATGTAAGACCTGAAACTATAAAAATCCTACAAGAGGGCAAGTCCCTCAAGTCCCCTCCCACCATAGGAGCCTTTCTGTCCTCTCAATAAATCCTGCTTTCAAAAAAAAAAAAAATCCTACAAAAAAAACCAGAAAAAAACTCTTCAGGACTTTGTCCTAGGCAAATAATTTATGACAGCAAAAGTCAAATGCAAAAAAAACAAAAAGAGACAAATGAGACTTCAGCTTCTGCAGAGGAAAAGAAATAATCAACAGAGTGAGCAGAAAACCTATGAAATGGGATAAAATATTTGTAAACTATACCTCAAAGGGCTAATATCCAGAATCTATGAGGAACTCAACTCAACATGATAAAAACAACCCCATCAAAAAGTGGGCAAAGGACATGAACAGGCACCTCTCAAGAGAGGACACACAAGTGGCTAACAAACACGTGGAAAAATGCTCAACATCACTAATCATCAGAGAAATGCAACTTAAAACCACAGTGAAATATCATTTCACACCAGTCAGAGTGGCAGTTATTAAAAAGTCAAAGAACAAGTGAAGTTGGCATGTATGCAGGAAAAAGAGAACACTCATTCACTGTTGGTCTGACTGTAAACTAGTTCAACCTCTATGGAAAACAGTATGAAGATTTCTCAAAGAAGTAAAAATCGAATTAGCATTTGATCCAGCAATCCCACTACTAAGTATCTACCCAAAGGAAAAGAAGTCATTATATAAAAAAGATACCTGTACTCATATGTTCATTGCAGCACTATTTATAATAGCAAAGTCATGAAACTGAGCTAAGTGTCCATCAACAATTGACTAGACAAAGAAAATGTAGTACATATATACCATGGGGTACTACACAGCCATAAAAAAGAACAAAATCATGTTCTTGTAGCAACATGGGTGGAGCTGGAGATCATTTTCCTGAATGAACTGACTCAAAAACAGAAAACCAAACACCACATATTCTCACTTATATGTGGGAGCTAAACGGCCACAAAAATGGAAATAATAGACACTGGGGACACTAAAATGGGGATTCCGGAAGGGAGGTTAGGCCTCAGAAGTTACCCATTGGGTACAATGTTCCCTGTCTGGAGAACCGGCCATCAGAGACCCAATCCCCACCAGTACCCAATATGTCCATGTAACAAACATGCATTTGTACCCCTGGAGCTAAAATTTTTTAAAGATCTGCCAATCCTACTTCTGAAATATGTAACAATTCCTCCCCCACACCCACAACTGCTCTCATCTCCACTGCCACGACCCAATCCAGCCTATTTGGACTCCGCATAACTCCCCTGGTCTCTACTCTTGTTTCTACTCCCACACAGCAGCCAGAATGAGTTTTAAAACATAAATTCGATCATGTCCTTTCTGAGCTTAAGAACATTCACTGATTCTAAGAACAAAATTCTAAGTCCCCCGGTTCTGGTCTTTGAGGTCTTGCCTGATTTTATCCCTGTCCACTTCCAGGCGGCTTTTCTTCCCACCCTCCCATCTTTCTGCTCCATCATTCTGTCCTTCTTTTAGTCCTCCGGGAAGCCATGTTCCTCCTACCCCGATGCCTTTACACCTGCTGCTCCAGTTATCTGGCAGAGACTGTCAGATGTTCACCAAGCTCATGGTCTCCTCACTTATCTGGGTGTGCTGCTCGACTACATTTACCAGACTCTCTTGAGATTACCATAGCCGGGGAACACAATTCTAGGCAATGTATTGTGAGCAGAAGTAATGGATATCACTCCCAGCCCGCCCATAAAAGCATCCCTCGTGTGCTCCTCCTGTCCTTCCTCCCTTCCCACTGGCTGCAGTGAAGACAACAACATTAGCGGACACATGTAGAAGACAGGAGATCTTCTATTAGGATGGGCCCCAGCATGCAGCCCCAGACTACATAGAGAAAAGTCATCTTATTTTTCTGTCTTCAGTCCAGGAGCCTGAGCAAGAAATACACTTCCACTGTGTTTAAACCATGTTATATTTGAGGATCTGTTATGACAACAGCTAGCACTATTTTAACAAAAACCTGGAGCTGCAGCATGAATCCCCTACTCACCCCACCATCACCACCACCACCATGCACCCACAAGCCTACACCCAGGCCCCTGCACCCCTCATGCCCACTCATATTTTAGGCCTGGGCTTTTCTGTGTGAAGACGCTATCCCTGACTCCCTTCATCCCATCTAATTTAAGTTGCTCAGTCACTCTTCTCTCCATGCCCGATTCTTCCCTATCATTTCACTCAGCACAAGACATAATTACTTGTGTGTTATTTACTCCAAGTCTGTGTCCACAACTGCCACATAAGATCCGTGGAATCACAACCTTTGTCCACCATGATAATCTACACACAGCCATCGCTAAGTCTGGCATTCTACAGTCATTTAACGGATTTTTAACATGTAGAGGATGGACGAATGGGAAGCCACTCTCAAGGGAATACTCTTTTTCATCACAAGATCACAACTCTACACCAAAAATCATAGAGAATTAAAATACACACCCTGGGGACTTTAAAAACTTTTATTCATTCAGAATGCAATTCTGGGACAATCTACAACCAAGAGAAACCCTAAACTTTGAAGTAGTCTTAACAGACTAAACAGTGCAACAGCATTGGCCCTGTATGAACAAGCAAGAAGTCGATTCTTATCCTTTTCATAAAACCTCTTGGGAAACTTGCACATTTTCTTCCCATCAGAAATGCATTAACAAGTTCATGCTCACACAACTAGTCAACACAAGAGGAAAGTGACAATTTACACTGAACTATTTAAGTCTTGCAGGAGAGTAATCACAGCTCCAAGCTATGTTTGCTGCCCTTTTCAATGGCATTCATTATATTCTGTCACCAAATACAGTAAAAGAACTTCACTAATTTTTAAAAGCTAGAATTACTGTGTGTAATGTATATAGGAAAATGAATACTATATAGGAGAATGAAATAGATCAAGTTCTTACATTTTTACCTAAGAATCTATTTATTTTAAGCAGTTTTGATTAATATTTAAATGATTAAAAGTAAATGTTAAATATTAACTGCACAAAATCTAAAATAAAATGGTCACATTATATCATACTACATTATATAGATAGAATAAAAGCAGCTAACAAGAAGTGTTTTCAAAAATTTAAAGTTTCTGACATCATTTTCCACCACTCCATCAATTCCTCCTTTTCTTCTTCTTTTCTTTCAGAAAATGACTCCAGTTCAAAATCAACCTAAAGCAGAAAATTAAGACCATATTGTTAGCAATCAGCATATGTATTTTTTAAAACTGGAATAAAAACTAAAGGCTGTTTCAGAGCTTATAGAATAAATCAATTCAGCCACCTGAATTAAAGTAGATCCTAAAAAATCTCATTTGATAAACAAAAGATACTTTCAGGGGAAATCAGTCAAAAACCGTATGTTTGAAATGTGCTTTGATGTCATAGCTTTAGATATATATAGTTCAACAGAATTCCCTGCCCAGCCACTTTCCCTCATAAACAGATGTCACTTGGAGTCAACTTTCTGCCTTTACTAGTGAGCATCCCTTGCCAGCCTTGGATATGCCAACAGCTGGGGAATTGGGAGAGTATAGTTCAGTGTGCTGCTGTCCCAAACCACAAGGCTCTGCTTGATGTTAAACCATCTGGTGGGCAAGTCAAGTAACTTTATCAGACCTCAGTTTTCTCATCTGATAAATGGGGATCATAATTTGTTAAAGAAACTGACAGAAGCACATACGTCTCCAACTACTCTCCTTGTTAACTGGGCACCTTCATCACATCTGTGAAGAATCCACATACTCTTCATAAACGGCTACTCAAAACATGCAGCTCCAGCCCCCACTCTCCTGGGCCCCATGGCAGGAGGAACTCAGAGTGCCTTGACTGGCCACAGGTCTCAGGGCAAGCCTCTAACTTTGTTGGACTTCAGTTTTCTCATCTGTTAAATAGTGATAATGAAGACACCTCCCTCACAGGGTTATTATGAGGATTAAACGTAAGTCACTTAAATATGCCTGACAATGGTAAGTGCTTAATTATTACTAGCTATTCTAGTGCTTAGCTGTTACAATGACTACTTACTCCAACAGCAGGGCTGTAAGGAACTGCCACCTTCTTTGTTATTGCCAGATAGCCTGGAGCGGAGGCTGTAAGTTTATAGTTTCCAGGTACAAGGAGTCTCCAGTAATCACCATCCTTGGCTGTAGGAAACAGAATACCAAATCACACAGCACAAATGTGAACACATAATTATACCATCCAAGCAATACCCACTATACTTCAGTCTGGTTTCCTCAAGTCCCTATTTTTAAAGTAAATGTATAGAAAATTCAATAAAACTCTATCGAATGGTGTATCATGGGCCTCGTTTCTCATAGCTGCTTTACAGATATTAATGATAAATTGTCTAACAAACCTAAGAGCTTGAAGCTTCTCTTCACATCAGGAGTCACACAGTCAAGAAGATAAAGTCAGTTGAGGTAAACTGCCAGGGGAGGGAGGGGTACACCTCATCAACAAGGGTACTCCTACCCCTGAATTGTACTCCATATCTTTGAACTAAATTTAATTAACATGTGTACTCCTAACCCTGAATTGTACTCCACATCTTTAAAATAAAAAAATTAAAAACAAACAAGAAAAGAAGATAAAGTCCCAAAGCGCAGGGTCTGAGCACTCAGTTGAATACTAAATGGTCAGAGAGTCTACATCAGCATTCTACAGACAGTGGCTGAAAGGTATCCATATCTTGGGTCTCTAAATGCTCTCTTCCCATAGAGGATACATGACTATATCCTACAGAGGCTCTCCTCCCATGGAAGATATGTGTCCATATCCCAGTCTCTAAATGCTCTCCTCCCATGGGGGATATGTGACCATATCCTGGGTCTCTAGACGCTCTCCTCCCATGGAGGATATGTGTCCACATGCTGGATCTCTTAATGCTCTCCTTCCATTGGGGAATGTGTGTCCATATCCCAGGTCACTAAATGCTCTCCTCCCATAAGAGGATACGTGTCCATATTCTGGTTCTCTAAATGTTCTCCTCCAATGGAGGACACATGTCCATCTCCTGGGTCTCTAGATACTCTCTTCCCATGAGAGATGTGCATCCATATCCTGGGTCTCTGAATGCTCTCCTCCCATGGGAGGATACATGTTCATATCCTGGGTCTCTAAATGCTCTCCTCCCATGGAGGACACATGTCCAGCTCCTGGATTTCAAAATGCTCTCCTTCCATGGAAGGACACGTATCCTTATCCTGGGTCTCTGAATGCTCCACTCCCATGCTCCCTGGGTCCCACTTCAGTCAGGCTCCCACCATCTCCCAGTGAAATAGATATTGTCAATTATCTCCAAACTGCTAGATACAATTCGTCTTCAAGGTTCACCTTGCTTGACACCTTTTCACTCCCTCTCTGAAGTGATTCAAGGTCCAGGACAACATGCTGAGTCTCCTTTTCCCTTTGACTCCATTGCTGGTTCCTCCTTGAAAAGCAGGTATGTCTCAGAGCATAATTCTCACATTTCATTTCTACCTATTTATTTCCTAAGTTAGATTTTCCTGAACCTTCCACATCATGGTCTGCAAAGCAAGTATTTGTGTGGCACCTATGGCTAACAGACAAGGGAGGTTCCTGCAGCCAGAGGAGACCAACACCTGCACTATGCCCTCCCCACAGGCAAGGCGAGGAGGAGCTGGGCACAGGACCCGTGTGCTGGCAGGGAAGGCATGCTGCCACCTAGTGGCGCTTATAAATGTATGTTACATAGGTTAATAAATGGAGTCAGAGGACAAACATAAAAAAAGATTTTTTAAAAATCCAAACTATAAATACAAAGGTTAAAAAGGAGTAATGATACAGAATGGCTTAGGAAATAAATTAAATATTAATTAATTATAAGACCTAGAAATATTATAAAGAGTTTATAGGTTAAAAAAATAAATAAAAAGCTGTTTTTACTGAAAAGACCACAACAATGACAACTAAACTAAAATGAACTGGATAGGTGTTTATTAACGAGAGTAGATAGATTTGCCAGAAAAAACATACATCATTTTCCCCAAACTGGGGAAATGGGCAATGGGACTCTAAGCCTAAAAATAACTAACTCCACACCTAAATCCTGTAGTATCCTATTCAACCTTGAATGGCTCTGGATTAAACAGCCACCTGCTTGAGAACCAGACACACAATCCGCTGCTTCCTTCCTCCCAACTCTTCCCGCATCCTCCTGCGGTGACTAGAAAGTCACAGACGCCAGCGAGTTCCTGATCCTTTGCCTGAAGAGCTGCAGAGCCAAGCCCTGGGCAAGACAGCCAAGGGAAGGGCGCCCTCTGCTGCACCTCAAGTTCTAAGCTGACAGTGTCCTGGCTCCAGCCGGGCCTGTGTCCACAAGGAAGCCTCACCAGGTCCAGGCCGACAAGCACTGTGGACGTGTGAGGGTGGCACTGTCTCTCTCAGAAGAATGTAAGACTTGTAGCTGTGACACCAAGTAAGTATGCTCTTGTACGTGATACGAGAGCCTCAGATCAAGGCAAGGAGCACCCACCAGACGTGACATCGTGGTCTATTCCTTCCACGGAGATGGTCGCGTTGGCAATTGGGTTACCTTGAAGGTCTCGGACAAATCCTTTAACTCCTCGGTGTATCTGTGAAGGTCAAGAACAACCAAAGCATTCATAAGAGAAAGAACTAAAAGTATGTTTCATTTCAAGTATCTTATTTTCTAGTAAATATTAGCAAATACTATCGATCCCATTGTTTAAGAATCAAAACATGCTCAAAATGCATTTTTTGTGCACTCTGTACCCTGCTTTTTCTTAAATAAATAAATGAGACATAACCAGAAAATTAATACTTTACCTTAGTCAAAAAACGTCTGAAGTACCTTCAGAAACAAAAACTCTGTCACATTTGCAAAGTACTAGTCTTAGCACATTTCATTACTTCCTCTTCTAAAAATTGGGTCTGCTGTGTGTCCCTTACTTGGCCATCGTCAGTTAACAAGCATATTTAACTGATACTGGAAACAAAGATATGTACTGTGACTACTTTTGCATTAAACCCATTAACAATATTATTTTGACTGAGAATAAGTGGCATGAAAGAGCAGTGAATTTCATAACAGAAAAATTGGATACTTATTAGGAAGAAAGTAGAGGTGTCATTGAGAACAATTTCTCTGAATTAAATTGTAGTCATCAACTGGCTATTACAATGCAAACTGCAAAAACAACTTTTTTCTTTACTTTGAAAAGAAAATTCAGGCTGGACCCAGTGGCTCAGTGTGTAATCCCAACACTTTGGGAGGCCAAGTGGATTGCGTGAGCCCGCGGGTGCGAGACTAGCCCAGACAACTTGGCAAGACCTTGTCTCTACAATAAATTAAAAAATTAGCCGGGCGTGGTGGCCTGTAGTTCCGGCTACTTGGAAGGCTGAGGGGAAAGGATTGCCTGAGTCCACACTGGGGTGGCTGTGAGTATGCTATGGCACTTCAGCCTGGGTGACGGAGTGAGACTCCAACTCAAAAAAAAAAAAAAAGATAATTCATTTAAGTCAATAGTCAATATGTGTTTGAAGTAATAGAGAGTCACTTCAGGTCTTTAAGAAAGATCTGCTTCTGGAATATCAAATGATAATTCACTAAACTGGACTACTTAACAAAACATGCCTCAACTTCACAAGTGCTTAGTCTCTCCTCACCCAATCTGGCTCTAGAAAACGAATTTTCTTTTGCTACTGATGAGGCTTAACTATTTCTCTACAGAAAGTAGAATAAACCTCCTGTATTCCTTTGTCGTCAAATAATAAATTTGGAAGTGGTACAGTGTCATGTCAAGGCCTCGCTGCCAGCAATATTATTTGCATTTGCCATTTTTTAAAAAAATGAAACCTCTAAAGCCCTAAAAAATAACACATAGGTTTTTTTCCCCCTCTAAAGACAATTTACAAATGGTAAAAGGCTATACATGTTGTCAGTAATAATGAATGATGATTTATTGGTTACCAGTATGGTAAAAAGAGAGTAAATACATTAAAAAAAAAAAAGTTTAGGACCTAGTGACTCTCTAACTTTTCTCCAAGATATATTTATGAATTAGCGAGCCAGAACGGAAAGAGCATGAAATTTAGGCATTAGAAATCATGAAAAATGAAAAGTTAGCCTTCCAGATGAAAAGAAGGGAGTACTGTTACTGGTCAGGAAATTGTGAAGAAAACAAGGCTCCACGTGGAGATGGCAAGAGCAGAAAACATAAGGAAAATAGCAACTAAAATCTCTTAACATGAAACCTAGTCAGTAAAATTTAGAAGGATCCTCACTGGTAAAAGAGGAATTATTTTTCCTCACAGGTACTTTATTCATATTGAGGCACTTTAATTTTGGAATTATCAATACTATAAACCTAAGAGAAAGTTTTTGATTTTCTCATTGGAAAATCAACCAACCAATCACCTGCAAAAACACAGCATCCACCTGCCTTAGGCATAAACAGAGTTAAATAAGGTCATGTCTGTCTCTGATAGGTCCACTATGGGCCACAGCTTTTCTGTTTAAAAAATTCCACTATAGTCATAAGTTTCAACAAAAGTGTTGAGGTGAATTCAGACTGGAAAATGCCATCATTTTAAGGTTTTTACAAAAGAAGTCACAAGTTCAAATTTCACTCATGCCTGGAGAAACTGTATTCCTACACTTGTCCTTCCTGCAGCGATCACTCCCCAGATTCCAAGACATCTCAATTTCAGTCAAAGTTTTAAAAGCATCCAGAAGATTCTCCATTGTGCCTAGGACTGTTTGTATCAACAGCCCTTAAACCCTCATGTACTTAAGTGTCACCACTCTCATCCAGAGAGCTTGCTGAAGATTTGGGGTTCTGCCCTGCAGGGAGTGTGATTCAGTAGCAGGACAGGAAGCTCATTTCCAACCAGAATTCTATATGATTCTGATGCGGTGCTCATGAACCACTGTTTGAGAAATTCCTTAAGAACTTTGAGAACCAGACTCTGGCAAAACTGCTGAGTGGGAGAGGCCCTTCTCCTCCTGAGCAAGTTATTTGCCCTAATTAGCTTTACAAGTCTAGTGCCTCAAACATCTCTAAAACTCTGCAAGAGAGTTCCTCTCAGCCAATTAAGAAGCAATCTCCCAATCACCTACTTTCCTGAGCTGTAAACAAGTCCATAGGTTTAGGCCCAGGTGTTCAATTACTAATCACCACCACTGCCAAGAAAGCAATTACAATAAAGAGCTTTGGCAGTCTTCACTGAGTTTCTCCAGCCTCTGACTCCACAGCTGGGGGAGGGTGGGGGGGGGGGGTCTGTGTTGCCACCTGCATGCACTCATATAAACACCCGCTCAGTGTTTTGACACCACTTGCTTCATAACTCACAGCCACATCCTGTGGACCACGTGGATTTGAGGCACAGCAAACCCTTCCAAATAGCATGAAACAAGACTGCATGGCACTACCCTCTTCTGTTTAGCTTATTTCTAAATTAATTGATAGAACTACAATGAATTGGCGGTATGCCCACCGGTCTCTGTAAATAGAACAAATATTCTCCTTTTTCTTGGTGGTACGAATTTGTGTTCTGCTTTGGTTTGTATTGCAATTTTTTTCCCCAAGAATTAAGAGATAAATTAAGCAGCAGCTAAGCTTGCTTCTCAGCTATTGATCGAGTCATGATCTTGGTGGCATCAACCTCAGAAAAGCTTAAAGTACAGCTCCAGAAGCCTTTTCTGGCGCCCACCACTGGGCAAGGGGCCCTTTTGGGTGCTGCCTTTGCTCCTGGAGCTAACCTTCATTTTAGTTTCTTCATCCTCTCTCGTGATCAGGTATTCACATTTCTGACCCCCTGAATACGAAGCCTGCTCTAGGACGGTCACTATCCCAGTGCATCACAGAGAACCTGGGACACAAAAGTCGCTCAATAAATTTTGGTTGAAAAAATTCTTAAATAAAATAAAAAGCATTGAATTAAGGAGGTATTCTTTGATATGGAAATGGAGAACACACCAAATTTCCCCATCTTACTTCCTCTATCCTAAAATACACTTCTTAGTTAACTTTGCTCTTGGAAGATCCATCCAAATACAGCTCTCCTCAAAGGAGACATCCTGTAGGGGTTGTTCTCCATCAATGTGGACTCACTGTCCTTAGTTTTTGTTGTTGAAAAATACCTCTTCATACTGACATGCAGCAGGAGTCCACTGATTTAAACGATCCTGTGGAATGGAATGTTAACCATGGATCTAGTCCCCAATAGTCCCTTCTGGTGAGATAGTACAGATATTCAACATATGTGAAAGAATTCCTAGGCTGACTTCACTTTTTTTTTTTTTTTTAGTGGTGGTAGAATTGGGGACCACTGCCACAGGATCCTTCAGGAAGAGAGACTGGACTCAACTCCCGATTTTGCTTTTTTTAAAAAATGTATTTGTCTTATATGTATATATGCACATATATACATACAAATAGCTAAATGTTTATTTAACAGTATTTGTTTATGTCAAATTAGCTTAACAAACTAGCCTGGGGTATGTGCCAGGTAATAAAACACACCACTCTACTTGCCTTCAGGTGTGAATGGCCACAGACTAAAATTTGAAAACTGCCAAGGCCTGCAGGCAAGGAGCACACAGTCTTCAGGTCTTTCCACCGCCACCACCCTGGTGCCAATGTCTATACACACTAGAGGGCGTGGGATTGGCAAGTCCTGACCTGAATTCAGACTGAGTGGGAGATTTTATTCTGGCAGATGGTACGAGCCCCCCCAAAGTCTCCACAGACCACATTGGAATGGCCACACAAGTGACTCTGGTGAGGACCCAAGCTTAAGTCATGCAAGGCAGCAGAGTGTGGTGATTCCGGAACTAGACAGCCGGGTTCAAATTCTGCCTCAGGTTAATTCAGGCAGTGTCTCAGATTCCTGCTCTTTAATTCAGAGATGATGATGATGGTGATGATAATGATCACTTCCCTCGCAGGGTTGTGAGGATTAAATGCATCAATTACTATATACAAAGCATTTAGAATAAGGTCTGGGAGATTGTAGATGCCCAGTCAATGTAAGCTCTCATTATTACTGTCACCTGGGATGCAGCCGAGTCCAGGGCAAGACATGGGAAGCTCGTAGGGCACAAAATCCACAGGGCCCCTCACGCTCAGCAGATAAGCCCGCGCCTGCATGGCACAGAGAATGACGTCTTCCTTACTTTGATCCTAAAAGTGCCTCACTCACCTCACTCTTGGCCTGGCCCCGCCCTGGGATGCCTCCAGGCCCAGGATGACCAGGTGGGGGAAGATCCTCCGACTGCCCTTGCTTAGACTAAGAGGAGTGAACACAAGACCCCACCTCATCTCTACACACCCCTCTAGTTCAGTCAGCCCCCAGCGAATATTCATGAACCGCATGCCCTGAGACAGCAGAGGCCTACCTGACCCACTGTGGCGCTTGCTTTCCAAACGTCCTCCCCCTGGCAGATGGCCTCCCTGGACCACACCCTGAGGAGGCTGCCTGCGCCAGGTCTAAACGCAGCCAAGTCTCCCAGCTTACGCCAGAGGTTGTACCCACCTGCTCGATGTAGCTGATGAGGGAGTTTTTATTGTCCTCCCAGTAGCGTTTCAGAGTCTCTTCAGGTGGAAACTTCTCACAGCTGAGCTCCACAGTGATCTCGAAACAGTTACTGCTGAGGTAATTGAAGTCTTGCATCCCTGCCAAAGAGCCAGGTGTAAAGTCAAAGCGCACATGGGGACCTCCACACAGGCCACTCTGCTGACTTGAGAGCCAAGCAGAAGGTCCATCAACTAGGGCACTGGGGAGCCCCCTGCTGCAGGGACTGAACACCACAGCAGGAGAGAGTCATTACCATAGCCACTCTCAGTGCTTAAGCAAAGGCATTGCTGGTTCCCAGTGCTAAGGCAGATATAACCCCACTCCACACAGCAGGAACAGGATTCAAAGAAGCCAGTAGGGTGAAAGATCCAGTCCCGGCTGGGCTTGATGGCTCAGCCTGTAATCCCAGCACTTTGGGAGGCTGAGGCAAGTGGATTGCCTGAGCCTGTGGGTTCGAGACCCACCCAGGCAACTTGATGAGACCTCATCTCTACAATAAATCAAAAATTAGCCAGGCATGGTAGCGCATGCCTATAGTTCCAGCTACTTGGAAGGCTGAGGTGGAAGGATCGCCGAAGCCCAGTAAGTCGAGGTTGCGATGGCCAGGAGCATGCCACTGCACTCCAGTCTGGGTGACAGAGTGAGACTCCAACTAAAAAAAAAAAAAAAAGATCCAGTCCCCATGGCCCCAGAAAAAAATGCACATCCCTCCAAGTCTACCTTTTATCAGGGAAGAACTTGGAGAGTTACATGAGATGAGCGGACACGCTATACAGTAAATCCCATACATACAAACCTTCAGGTTATGAAATTTAATGATGCACGTGTTTTTTAATATATTATTTATCTCCACCGGGTATCAGTATAGCCTGTTATATACACAAAGAACTATAGAACCAATTGTTAGTTGGGTAACTAGTCTAATTTTGTTGGACTTATAACAAATGGACTTATGAACATGCTCTCAGAACCAAACTCATTCATAGTTGATGACCTCCTATACTGTTCCCTGCATCCAACCAATATCATAGTGTACTCCTGAGTGGTTGAGAGTCGTGACAATAATTCAGCTATTACTGAGAACCTACTATGTATAATACATGATGATAACAATACTTCAGAGTGCACCAGAGAGCAGATTCTGTGTCCAGAACATCATTATAAAATAAGAGCTCAGTAAGGTCTACGATGGGTAAGGATGCCAAGAGAAACACCTGGGCTGCCAAGGAATGGGCTGCCTCCAGCCACTGTCTGGCACAGAGCCTGCTCCCTTTGCAGCCTCCAGAGGCTGGGGCCGGGGCTGGGCCTCAAGGAGACAGCTGCCTGTGAGTTACGTCCCAGGCCCTTCCAAGGGTGAGCCAAGGAGACACCTAACTGCAGGCTTGTCCTAAAGGGTACCCTCAGAAAACCATGAGCATCAAAGCCTTATCTCAGGCTCCACTTCTGGAAAACCTGACCAAAATGATGCTGAGTTCACTACACAGAGAGCTAAAGACCAGCTGAGCTTGGCTATTGGTTTCTGTGGGCATAACCATGACTAAACCTAATATCATTATTGTTATTAATACTGTTATTATAAGCATATCACTGATATACATTATTGATATTCTGTTGACAACCCTATTTGTTCAAAAAGGTAATTCCAAAGGAATTGCTAGTTTTTATAAAAACTTGGAAAATTACTTCCCATCTGATGTGCTTGACATACACTAAATCCTAAGTCTAACATAGACTATATTTCTCAAGCTTTAGTAGAAAAACATACTAAATCTGACCTGATGAAATGAAAAATATAAATAAAAACAGAATTAACACATGCCAGAGAGAAAAAAATCAGGAAGAATATCTTTCTCAGGGAATAATTCAATAAAAGGAAGCATATTAAACAAATCAAAACCCTATAATTAGTTAATGCTACTACCCTAACTTTTTATTTCCAGGTGAGCCACAGAAAATTGCTCTTAGGCAAAAAGAAAAGAAAAAACACATATAAATATCTTTGCATTTCACGCAACCAGGCACAGTGGGTCATGCCTATAGTCCCAGAACATTGGGTGGTAAAAGCAGGAGGATTGCCTTAGTCCAGGAGTTCGAGACCAGCCTGGGCAACATAGCGAGGCCACCTCTCTACAAAAATCAAAAAATTAATCAGGCACCGTGGTACACGCCTGTAGGTCCAGCTACTCAGGAGGCTAAGGCAGGAGGATCACCTGAGTCCAGGAGTTCAAAGCTGTGCTGACTGTCACTGCACTCTGGCCTGAACAACAGAATGACAGAGTGAGACCCTGACTTAAAAAAAACAAAGAAAAAGAAATTGTAGACAAAGAGAAAAGAAAAACACATATAAATGTCTTTGCATTTCACTGTTCATTCTCAACTTGGTAAAGTCCATGTCAGGACATGGGAGGCAAGAAGGCCATCCAGGCTACCCAGGAAGGGGCTTGCTCCAGCAGCTGTCCTGCACAGGGCCTGTTCCCTCTTCAAAACTCAATACGGTACTTATTACGGTGGTAACAGAAACCAAATATTCCACATCAAATAGTCCCCATTATCACAGCACTTTTTAAAAAATGCTGAAAGCCAAGCATACCCTCTAAAATATACACTTGCCTATAGTAAAGGCATGACTAGCATATAACAAGGCCCAGATTTGAAACGTAAAGTAGTTAATATTCAATTGGTTTTGTTTGTTTGTTTTGAGTCAGTGTCTCACGCTGTTGCCCAGGCTCACCATAGCCTCCACCTCCTGGGCTCAGGCAATCCTTCTATCTCAGCCTCCCGAGTAGTTGGGACTATAGGCGCATGCCACCATGACCTGTGGTTTATTTGTAATTTTATAGAGATGAGGTCTCGCTATGTTGAGGTCTCAAACTCCTGGGCTCAAGCAATCCTCGACCAGCCTCCCAAAGTGTGGAATTTTACAGGCATGAGACACTGCACGCAGCCAACAATATTCAGTTAATATTTTGACAAAGAAAATCTTAGTATCTCTTCATTTAGCATCTCAATTTTTTTAATTCACAAAAACAAAATTATATACACTAATCATTCATGAAAAAAATAACTGAAAAAGCTATAGGTTCAGTCTACTTCTTGGTGTCTGAGAAGGATCAAAGATTCTCTAAATCTAAATGGTAACTATAAGTAAGCTACTGTCACAGTCTGAGAGCAAATTGGAAACTCACCACCAGGCACGCTGTACCAAGCACCACCATTGGTAGTTCCATCCACAAAGCTGCTGTCATCGTCATTCTTGCGACACGGTGGTCGACTGGGGTCAGACATGGCTGGGTTGAAAGAAGAGTACGCCCGAGCCAAGCTTTGGAAAATGGCATCATCCGGGGAGGAGCTGTATTCATGAGCACTGCCTAGAAAGTAAGTCCACAAGATGAAAGAGGTTGACAGGGGCCAAAGAGTGACGTCTTCTGGAGTTACTCAGTGGGAAAAGGGGTACGGTTTAAGTGCTAAACAACTACACTTAGTTTTCAAATGGAAATTGGGTGGAATGCACATTCTACTTATGAACAGAAAGCTTCACAAGGAAAGGTGATAGGTCACAGTGAACTGGACTGGGAGAACAAGACGATGTCCACTGACCAATTTTCAATTTAGAAAATGTTCCTGTACCAACCTCATGGCCACTATGAACCACTCTCATACATATCACTAAGTATTCAAATTTTAGATTCATTAATAAGTCTCCTGTGTGTATTATAGAAATAAATAACATATATTTGCTATTGTGCAAATGTATTTTGATCCATGCATTTAAACTCTGCAGACCTACAAGTTCTCCAGTTATACACAAAACACAAAAATCTCTCAATTTATTTAACAATATTGCTTCACCAAAGGTTTTCTTCAACACTCAAAGCTTCCAATATAAAAATTACTATCCTGTGTTTACAAAGAGTTAACTCTTCAGAGGCCCCTGAGAATGGAGCCAAAGCAGGAAACATTCTTGGGCAACACAAATTAGGCTGAAAATGTCTATCTGGCTAAAGCTTGCTTTGCCTGAAACTTACCTAAATCTGCTTAGAGAAAACCCAAACACCCCTTCCCCTCCCTGACACTCCTTGGAACAGTTCCAAATGCAGAACTCTGAGTACATGGTAAGACACATGTGGGGATTCATAGGGGCCCTGACCTCATGCCAAGAGACTAACTCCATGATTGATCCAACCTGTACACAAACCACACAACTCTGTCATCTCTCCACTGTCCCAGTGTCCAGGCAGGACCCAGGTTATGATTCCTGCTTTCTCCCCTTCTCTAAGCTAAATATACAGTCAAGATCACGTTTCTCTTCACACAAACCATGAAAGAAAGCTACGGTCCTTTTCTGCCAGATAGATATGTCAATATCACATGAAATCATTAGGGGATGTTTTTGTTAAACGTATGTATTTCTACTGGGAAAATCACTTAATGGTCAGTTCCTTAAAGGATGTTACAGAAATCATCCTAAAAACCCTTGCACAGTAATCGTAAGCCATGAGCCAATCAGAAGGGCAGGAAGAACACCTACCACTCCGTGTCTCATCGTACGGGTAATTGGCCACCAGGTCCCCTCCATGGAGATTGGCAGAGAGCACGAAAGGAATGTCCATAATCCAGTGGATGACAGCCTTGGTCTCAGGAGCGAGCTGCACAGATCAGAGTAAAAGGGCTGTAAGGTTGAAAATCCTTGATGTGATCACTTGACAGAAACACCACAGGAAACAAAAAGAAAGAAACTGAAAGCCAGTCCAATTATAACTACTTTGTGGTGGTTGTCACAGAAAAAATAAAGGTTCCTACAGAAGCAGCATTCCCCATGTCTGTCTTTCTCAGACTTATAATAAAAAATATTTCAATAGTTTTAAAAGTTTTACTTGCATGGGCTGCCAGTTTTTCTCTCTTTGTAATTTAAAAACCAGCACACAAATCACTTACAAATTTTAGGACATCCCCATCTGATCTGTAGTGGCTGTGCATCACTGCTATTTATAGTTGAGGACAAGACAAGGAGAAAGAAAACAGTAGAACTGCAAGACAAGGTTGTCCTCTATGGTGCTTTAAATATGTGGTAACTTTTCTTTTCAATTTTTGCTTATTATTTTTCCAATGTTTTTCAACTACTTCAAACATTGTTCCTATCAAAGAATATTAGACTGAGTCTTTTTTAGAGCAGACTGTAAAATATTAGTGTACTTTGGAATGGTCACCTTAAATTTTAAAACAAAGACAATGTTTTCAAGAATTCATGTTAAGTCTTTTGAATGATTCATGGCCCCTTGGAAGCAAAACAAAGGAGAAAAGAAATTTATACCAAAGAATAAACCCAGAGCCAAAAGTTTGATTCTTTTATATGATGAGTTTTTAAAAGAAACTAGGAAAACTCTCAAACTCTAAATACCTTTCTGAATAAATGAAAAAGTTTTACTGGCAATAACATCCACGCTGTTCTTCAGGATGGAAACTCTACAGGCACAGGAGGGTTTTGTGGCCACAATAAGATCTTGTATTTGTATCTCTCTGTTTAAACTATGAATAGCTCTCACATAAACCATTCTGCTATGCTTCAAAATATCCCCACTGGATGTGCAAAGATATTCATCCCATTTCACAGGGAAGACTCTGAGGGGTGGGTGCGTTAAATAATATATCCAAGTTCACACAGTTGAGCATTCACATCCAGTCTTTGAAGCCCTAAGGCCCATGCAGTTTTTAGTATATCAGCTTTAGTCTATTAAAATTATCCTATTTTTCACTTAAGCTACACATAATTTTGGAAAATTGTGATTTAGAATGTGGTGTTGTTTTATTATTATTTGCTTGGTTTATCTTATTTTTTGCGATAAAAGAGGTTCACTGTAGAAAATGTAAAGGACACTGACAAAGAAAATCTGAATTACCCATAACTTTACCACCTCAAGATACCCACTGTTAACATTTTCATGTATCTCTTTTTCAGTCTTTTTCCAATATATTTATATAATTATTAAAACATGATAAATAATATGCCATTTTATATACTGCTTTTTTTGCTAGAACAGATAAACACCTTTTCATGTCATTGAGTGCCCTTCTAAAATAATATTTTAATGGCTGAGTGCTAGCCAGTGTCTGTATATACCAATCTTAAGCACTAATAAAATGATAGCTAATACTCATCAAACACTTTCTGTGTCACAAATCGAATCCTCCCTTCCACCCTATGAAATAAAAACTATGTTTCCCTATTTTACAGATGAGTAAACTGAGACAGAGAAGTCAGGGAACAGCTGGAATGACAGAGGCTGGCCCTGAGCCCGCCTGACTGGCTCCAGAGCCAGCACATAGCACCAGCAAGCTCCAGTGGCCAGGTGTTGGGTTGTTTACATAAAACACTGTGAACCCTGGTAGCTACTCTTTGTGCAAATCTACACTTTCTTTAGGAGAATCTCCAAAAATGGAAAGAGTTGACCAAAAGTTAAGTACATTTTTAGCCAGAAATGTTTAAATTAAAATTTATATTCAGCTAAATTTTAAAAATGTGATCCAAACTGCCTGCCTGTAAGGTACAGGGATATAACCAGCAACAGGATAATAAACCTTCCATCTCTAATCACTTTTAAGAATAATGGAAATTAGAGTCTATCAATACTCAGTGATCTATCACAGAAACAAAGAACAGAGTACCATATGTTCTCACTCATAAGTGGACCTTAAACAGTTATCATAATACTATAAGAAAGGGATTGACAGTAGTGGGAAACTGCTAGGAAAGGGGGGATGGAATTGGCAGTTGAGGGAAACTGCCAGGGGAGAGAGGGACACATCAACAAGGGTACCTGCATAATGAACATTTGTATACCTAACCCTGAATTGTATCCCAAATCTTTAAAATAAAACAATTTTTAAAAACAATGGAATTAGGGTTTTCAAACTTTGCCACTCTGATTAATAAAAAAAATTTAAATTTGTATTTTTTGAATGAGTTAATAAAACTAGAATTGTTTTTATATATTTAGTGATTATTTATATTATTTTGTGACATATTTACAAGTAATTTACCTGATTTTTCTGTTGAAATGTATAGCTTTTCTTATTAATTTGCAAGAGTTGTTTATTTAGTTTTTTAAAAAGCCCTCTACTATATATTTTAAATGTTTTCCAAGTATGTCATGTGCCTTTCAAATTCTATAATTAAAATACCAAACATTAAGAATAATAAACATATCTATGTTAAGAAAACAACATCAAATCTATTGATCTTTTCTTAATGGTATCTTTGCTTTTCCATTTCACTCATTCATTCAGTAACTATGAAGTGGCCACTCTGTGTCTACATGAAGAATTTTTAAAGTTCTATCCTATATTTAACAAATTTTTCTTATACTAGTTTCATACTTTGTATATTTAAATTGTAATGCATCTAGACTTTATTTTGGTCTATGCTGATATTTGTGATATAGATTTATCACAATTCTATTTATCCAATAATATATTCTTTCCACAATAATCTGAAATGCATTCTTTTTACATTTTGATTGAAATCAACCTAAAGATCCAAGATGTTAAGCCTTTGTCAGACCTGGTGTTGGCAAATACTTTTTCCCAGTCTGTAGGCTGTCTCCCTACTCTCTATGGTTTCTTTGGCTTTGGAGGAGCCTGTCAGTTTAATAAGGTCCCACTGGTCTATCTTCTCTCTTATGACCTGTGGGTTTCAGATTTTGTTCAGGAATGGGATGCCAGTTCCGATTTCCATGAGGGTATGTCCTTCATTTTCTAAGGTTCTTATGGTTTGAGGTTTTACATTTAGGTCTCTGATTCATTTGGGGTTAATCTTTGTGTATGGGGATAGATAGGGGTCCTGTTTCAATCTTCTGCATGTGATCAGCCAGTTTTCCCAGCAAAAAGGGAACACTTCTACACTGTTGGTGGGAGTGTAAACTAGTGCAACCTCTGTGGAAAGCAGTGTGGCGATTCCTAAAAGCTCTAAATATCAACCTCCCATATGACCCCGCAATCCTCCTACTGGGAATATATCCTAAAGAACTCAAATCACTCTATAAAAAAGATACCTGCACACGTATGTTTATCGCAGCATTGTTCACAATAGCAAGAACCTGGAAGCAACCATGCTGCCCATCAAAAGAGGACTGGATTTTTAAAATGTGGTACATATACATGATGGAATACTACACAGCCATAAAAAAGAACAAAATCATGAATTTCGCAGCAACCTGGATGGAACTAGAGTCTATAATATTGAGTGACCTCTCACAGAAACAAAGATCCGAGTATCACATGTTCTCACTCATATAGTGGACCTTGAACATCCAATGTAATACTATAAGAAAATGACTGACAGTAGTGAGAAACTATGGGGGGGAGGGGATTAACGGTAGTAAATATCTGTCTGGGGACGGGGAAACACCTCTTATTAACAAAGGTGCCTGAACGAAATGTACTTGCATACCTAACCCTTAATTGTACCCCACAATATCATAATAAAAAATACTGATTATAAAAAAAAGAAATCAACCTAAAAATAACTAATATAGAAACTGAAATCAAAATACTCTGTAATGTATATGCTTTTTTACAGTGAATTTATGTTTTAGGGGCCCAATGGCTAACATGGCATTGATATTAAATGAGGTGTGCTTAACACATATTCTTCTGTAATATTCTGTTTAGAAGTTTTCTTTTTATGCTGAATTTATTTTCAGTGCTCCTCTTCCTCGTGCAGCCTTCATTCACTCTGTATTCTCGGGCCCAGGGATAAGCATGACAGATATTTCAATGAGTTCAGAAGAGACAGAAATTGCTGTGGTTTGGGGAATCACCTAGGACTTCAGGAAGGAGTGTGTCACCACATCCGGGGTTGAGGTGGACTTGGGTAGAGAGAAGGGATGAAAGACAGTAAAAATAAAGGGGGTGTATATACATGGCCCATCTGTGTACATAAGGAAAAGACTGGCAAGAAGGGTAGGTGCTCGTGGAACTCAGAGGCCAAGACTCCCCGAGACAGACTGTTCCCCTGTGTTTACTGCCCACCTGAAAGGGGTCAGAACGATATGAGTGGCATACTACCACACAGCCACAAGTCAGTATGGCCATAAAAAATAATTTTCAAGGATATATAACCAAAACGTGAATGATGCTCACTGAAGACTTTAAGGCAATGGATTATTTTTCTACCTCTTTAGATTTGCTTTATTTTTTGTAATAAAGCATTAATTTTGTAATAGAAAATTTTTTTAAAAACTGTTTTTAGCCGGGCTCGGTGGCTCAGACTGTAATCCCGCGCCTTTGGGAGGCTGAGGTGAGTGGATTGCCTGAGCCCGCGGGTTCGAGACCCGCCTGGGCAGGCGAGACCTTATCCCTACAATAAATCAAAAAAATTAGCCAGGTGTGATAGCGCGCGCCTGTAGTTCCTGCTACTCGGAAGGCTGAGGCGGAAGGATCGCCGGAGCCCAGCAGGTTGAGGCTGCAGTGGCCGGGCGCGGCCACTGCACTCCAGTCTGGGTGACAGAGTGAGACTCCAACTCAAAATTAATTAATTAATTAATTAATTTTTTTACCTGTTTTTGAAACAAATTTGAAACTGTCCTAAATACACAAAGTTGTGTGACACTATTAGATTTAGCCTATTGTCTGTTCTTACACATATACTACTGCCAATGTGCACATTAATAGTGTGTTCAGCAACAAGCAAGTATATTCCACAACTTCATAAATTAAGTTTCTCTTTGACTATTAATGGAGTCTTTTAGGCTGAGACCCCAGTGTACAGTAATTATATATTTAAGTGACCTGCAGAGGAACCTCTGGAACACCCCTAAAATAGAGCCTCTAATGGAATTTAGATCTATTGTGGACTTCCTTTAAACCTTCCATCCAAAGACTACAAATATAGCTCACATGTTATACTCTCTAATTAGATCACTTTTGCTCTTAAATGGCGTTGAAGCTGTATTTATTCAGTTTTCTTTACAACCCTCACCATTAAAGACAAGTATAAACTAAACACATAGCTGGCTGTGTTTTAATCCACTCTGCTTTCAAGCAGCCCAGGTCCAGGCTGGTGTGCTGAGCCCAGACAGTGGAGGTAGCCAGGCTGCCGAGCTCAAGAACAGGTGACACACAACTTACAAGGACTCTGGGAGCACGACAAAGTTTTAATTCGGAGAGGCTCAGCAGTGCATAGAGAGCATCCACCTCGAGCAGGGTGACTCACAGCAGCCAAAGGATTCCCTAAGAATGAGGTTCCTTTCCCCACCCCTCCTACAGCACACACAGCCCAGGCCTCTGGAGTCAGCCTCCATGGGAAATGCATTTATATTTTTTTCTCATCACATACAAACAAGGAGGAATCCACATTTCTAACCCATGACTCCTGGCATGTCAAACAGAAGACTGCACCTTTATATATATATATATATATTTTTTTTTTTTTTTTTTAGATGGGAGTTTCACTCTGTCACCCGGGCTGGATGACAGAGAGTGGCAGAATCAGGGCTCACTGTAGCCTCAAACTCCAGGCCTCGGATGAACCTTCTGCCTCAGTCACCCAAGTAGCTGGGACTACAGGCAAGCCACCATGCTCAGCTAATTTTTGATTTTTTGTAGAGATGAGGTCTTGCCATGTTGTCTAAGCTGGTCTTAAACTCCTGGGCTATAGCAATCCTCCTGTCTCAGCCTCTCCAAGTGCTGAGATTACAGGTATGAGCCACTGCACCCAGTCAACCCTGAAATGTAAAAACTTCTATAAGAAATATAAACGCCTTGGGAGGCTGAAGTGAGTGAATTGCCTGAGCCCACAGGTTCGAAATCCGCTTGGGCTACTTGGTGATACCTCACCTCTATAATAAATCAAAAATTAGCCGGGTGTGGTAGTGCACACCTGCAGTTCCAGCTACTTGGAAGGCTGAGGCAGAAGGATCGCTGGAGTCCAGCAGGTCAAGGCTGTGGTGGCCGGGAGCGGCCATTGCACTCCAGTCTGGGCGACAGAGTGAGACTTCAACTCAAAAAAAAAAAAAAAAAAAAAGAAATATAAAGAGATTAGGCTGAGTGGGGGAAGGGAGGCGGATGTATAACAACATGAATAGAATGCCTACTACACGTGTTATACCGGGCTGGGGCTAAACTCTGTCTTACTCTTAGTGACAAACACGGAAAAAGAGAAGATGAGCCAGTCATAGACAACATCACCTGAGTATCAAGCAGCTTTACTGAAGATTTAGCATAAACACATCTTGCTTATGTTCAGAGAAGGGAACAATCTTTAGTTTTCACATATTTTTATTTTATTTACCCCTTATCTCGAAAAAGTTGTGGCATTGAGATTTTTAAATAAAAGCTCTTGTTAAAAATAGTACTGGCCGGGCTCGGTGGCTCAGCCGGTAATCCCAGCACTTTGGGAGGCCAAGGCTAGAGAACTGCCTGAACCTACAGGTTCAAGACCAGCCCAGGCAACTTGGAGAGACCTTGTCTCTACAATAAATAAAAAATAGGCCAGGCATGGAAGTACACACCTATAGTTCCAGCTACTTGGAAGGCTAAGGCAGAAGGATCGCCGGAGCCCAGCAGGTCGAGGCTGCGATGGCCATGAGTGTGCCACTGCACTCCAGCCTGGGCGACAGAGTGAGATTCCAACTCAAAAAAAAAACTGTACTATGTCAGATATATAGTTGGCAAATATTTTTTTCCCATTCTGTGGGCTGTCTCCCTGCTCTTTTCACGGCTTCTTTTGCTTTGCAGAAGTTCATCAGTTCGATGAGGTCCCACTTGGGATTGGCAGTTAAGGGAAACTGCTAGGGGAGGAAGGGGCACACCTCATCAACAAGGATAACTGCATAATCAACGTTTGTATACCTAACCCTGAATTGTACTCCACATCTTTAAAATGAAAAAAATTAAAATAAAAAAAAAATAGTACCATGAACATACCTCTTTTATATAAGCATTGCCTAAGGTAGAAACACAAAAATGTCTAACATAGGCAAATATCACAAAGGCTTGGTGAGGAGAAGGCCATGCTGAGTGGGAACAACAGCATGGCACAATGTCCACAACCAACATCCAGTCAACATAGTGTATTTCACAATTCCGGGACAGGCAGTAGGAACTACCTCGCTTCTCAGATGTAACACAGGCAGGCTGAGGAATGCAGTGGGGAGTGTGCAGCCAACTGGGAACTGCGTGCAGGACACTCTCCATTTCTGTCCCACCGAGGTTTGTCACAAGGACTGCCCAGTCCTCAGCCTTCCAACTCTCCCTCTCCTGAAGGATGGTTTTCAGGCTGAGAAACTGAACTGTGTCTGTGACCTGGGAGCAGGAAAGTTCAAGTCACCCACCTGTGGGGTCCTGCCTGCACCCTCGGCCCTGGCAGTTCCTGTCTCAGGCCAGCCAGTCTGCAGGCTATCTTTAGGCAGGAGAGTCTTAAGAACTCTAGACAGATCATCTGGGACTCCCTGTCTTCTGGGCCCCATCCGGTGTCCCGGCCACATGATGAATCCATCTGGAGCTCCAGCTGCTGATCTGAGCTGCTACCCATTTCAGTTTGTGTCTTGCTTGCTGGACTGGACTGCACTTACTCACAATAAGCCCTCGGACTGCTATGAAAGACTCAAAAATAGACTGCAATTCCTGCACTCATGGGATCAAAGTCTAGAGTCAAGGGGAAAACAGCCACATCAACAAAAAAGGATGCTATCAGGAAAGCTGGAGGTAACACAAGCACCACCTTGGAAGTGTTGTAAGGGACACAGAGAGGAAGCTTCACAGAAAGGGTCTGTCCTGAAGAGCAGAGGACACCTATGGAGGAGGGCAGTGAAGGAGAGAGACCTTCCAGAGTTCTAGACAGCCAGAACAGCAATGCATAGGAAGACGCAAAATTATTTAAAATACTACATGTGAGGAATAAAAACAGGTGTTGTGACTGGAGTCTATGGGGTGTCAGAGCTAGATTAAGGAATAAACCAGAAGGCTGCTCCCAGGGACCATGGGACCCTGGGATGTCCCTACAGCTAGAATCAAATGTACAAAGTGAACTTTGCAGGCTCTCCTGGAGGAAAGTACTAGAAGTAGCTGATCTGCTGAGCAGAACTGCCCAGCACAAAAGAAAAGGCACAGAGGGCTGCCCACCACAACTCCTCCCGCCTTTCCTCCACCATGTTCTCCATTTCTCCCATGCAACTGATAGCAGTGTTGAAGGCACACCCATGTTTAGCAGCTATGTAATTATATCCATCCTGTCCTAAAGGGCATGTCAGGGAGTGCGTCCTCCCTGGTCCCATCCCCAACTCCTGCTCTCCCAGTTCCAGGGCCAGGACTACTTTCAGGGTTCTAGCGCTCACAGCCTTGACTTCCAAAGTCAAGTTTTGGGAGTAGTTCTAGGTCTTCACGATGGTGACGATGCCAGAACATACTTCCTTAGCTACAGGACAAACCCAAGAAGGCACTGCATGATCTCTACCTTCGAGTTTTGATCCACAATTTTCTTCATATTTTTCAGCAGATGGTTGTTTGGACCACCTTCTTTCTCATTAACATACACGATCCTATCCAGGTCTGGGAAGTTCCGGTTCAAATCTATGCCCTGGGCATTGCTTCGACCCACAAACCAGTCCTTGAGTTCACCAGGCTAAAAAAAAAAAAAGCAAAGAGAAAAATCATCAGTTGTTCATTGTTATTGTCGCTATCTATTTCAGGTCTTTATCAACGCTCTTAAGAACAATTTGCTACAAGTAATTATGCATTCCAGCAATATCCTTCCGTAATGGCATTTTCACTACTTTTTGATATAAGCATGGCAGTACCAGGTTTGAAGTAGAGCCGTGTACCACATAATACATCTCAGTGAACCATAGACTGTCTACATGACCTCATAGGATTATCATGAAGTGGAGTTGAGTGCTGTGGCATGTGTCTGTCATACCAGGTGGAAGGTCTGCTTGAGGCCAGGAGTTTGAGAACAGTCTGGGCAACACTGTGAGACCCCACCACTATAAAAATTTAAAAATTAAAAATGGCCGGGCATGGTGGCTTATGCTTGTAGTCCCAACTAACTCTGAAGGCTGAATAAGAAGATCACCTGAGCCGGGAAGTCAAGACTGTGGTGAGTTATAATCACATCACTGTACTCCAGCCTGTACAAAGACGATAAAGCAAGACCCTGGCTTAAAAAAAAAAAAAAGTTTTTAATAGAATATAATGGAGCTGAAAAATCCCTATTGCCCTTTGATGTCTTGATAATTCTGACCCTGTGCAGGCCTGTGTGTTTGTGCCTTCGTTTTAACAAAAAGTGTAAAAAGCAAAAACTATAAAAACTTTTAAAAATGGAAAAGAGCTTACAGAATAAGGATAGAAAATATTTTGGTACAGTTGTACAATGGGTCTGTGTTTTAAGCTATTTGTTATTACAAAAGAGCCAAAAAGTTTTTAAAAACTAAATGTCTAGCAAATAAAAATGTTATAGTAAGCTAAGAGTAATTTATTCTTTCAGAAAGAAAAAAATTTAAATAAATTTTGCATAGCCTAAGTATACAATATTTATTAAACTTATAGTATGGACAATAATGTGCACCCCATCCAATCACATTCATGCAACACTCACGCACTGACTCACCCAGGAACTTCCATCCTGCAAGCTCCATTCATGCAAGTGTCCTATGTAGGGTACCATTTGATGTCCTATATACCATATTTTTACTGTGCCTTTTCTGTGTAGATACGTTAAGATACATGAGTTCTTGCCATTGTGTTATAGCTGCCTGCAGTATCTAGTACAGAAACATGTGGTACAGGTGTGTAACCTAGGATAAATAAGTTCTACCTCACAGCCCAGGTGTGAGCAGCTACACTACATAGGTGTGTGTAAGTGCAGTCTCTCTGTGATGTTCGCCAAAGAACCGCTAACAACACATTTCTCACAATGTATTCCCATTGTTAAGCAAGGCATTTGACTACATTTGTCACAGGCATTTTGAAAATATTTTCAGTGAATGATATTTTAAATGTAATACTAATAATATTTAAGAGACATTTATCATCAAATTGAATAAATCTATATATTTTTACTAGTAATACATGACCTGCTTCAAAGTACATCACTCTTTAACTAGATTTAAGTAATATTCATTGCCTCTATATATCACAGCAACCTACTTTTTTAATATTCAAAATAATAAATAACAAAATAAGATTAGAAACTTTGAGTGACTTTAACACGCACTATTTACATATTAATAGCATGTCTCCCTTTTGTAGTCTTCAAGAGAAAAATATATGCTCTAGAAGAAAAGTTCTAGGACCTCATGCTGTGAGACAATTCTGTTCAGTTTAAGCTCTTCATTTCACTAATGGTACAATATGAAAAAGTAATAAATTCCAAGATATTCCGTTTTACTTTACAACGTGAATTTTCTTGTTTTGTCACTAAATTATATCACGTAATATAGACATATTTTCCATAGTTTTGAAGTCATGGAAGTCACAAGCTAGATGCCTTATTCTGTGAGAAATAAAAACGTGTAAGACAGAAAATGATCATCTTTTGACCATCTGTCTTGTAATTCTTTACTATCACATTAAAATAGTAAATAACTTAATTTTATATGTTATTAGAATTTTCCTTTCATAACTTTAGAAATTATATCAATGTTATACTGCTTTACAAAAATTCACTGTCTGGGTTATTTATGAAGTCAAACTATCAAGTCATTAGATCTTTTTAACTGTAGATAAACATACTAAATTTTTACTTTAATGTGTCCCCAAAATAAGGAAATAAGGAAATTATTGCAAGCTGTAGATAACAGCAAATATGTCCCCCACCCCGTCCAATCAAAACGGGAACATATACCATATAACTTTTCTTTAAAAGTTTCAACTTCCAGCTTATCTAACAGTGAAGATGAATTAAATTATTTTTAGTTATGGGGTAGGGTTTTGTTTGCTTGATTAACTTTACTCATACAGACATGAAAGCACCAGGTATACAGGGTTTGTTTACAAGTTTGTCCAATGATCTGAACAAAAAAATCTTTCTTCCTTGAATCAGCAGAGGGTGCTAAAACACTGACACACCCAGATCCAGCCATGGCATTGCTCTTCAACACATGGCAGTCAATTTTTTCATATTTGTAGATTTTTGCAAGAAAACTTACCTAATCACAAATGTGGGTGAATAAATATAATATATTTAACAATATAAACAAAACGTTATTAAAATACTAACTTACTAACAAAATGTTCCATCCACAGTCTTGGCAGGAGAAACACAGCCACCATCCCTCACATCCTAGAGGGGGTCCTTCCCAGCGAGCTGGATTCCTTTTACTCTCCACCATAAGCATGCCAACCTGGCCTGCTGGCACTCACCTGAGACGCGGCCTTCTCAAAGCCGTCAGGGTTCAGGGACGGCATGATGTGGATGCGGGTGCTGTGGATCAGATTGACAATTGTCTCGTTCCCCTTCTGGTACTCATTGCAGAGGTACTGGGCCAGGAAAATGAGCAGTTCCCGCCCAACTGCCTCATTTCCGTGCATATTCCCAATGTATTTAAATTCAGGCTCACCTGGAAGATCAAAAATAGACGGTATAGAGATATGTTCTACAACACCATGGAAAACACAAATGATACACATGCCAAATGTACTGCATGCCTACTAATTTATTATGAATAGCTGGCAGACTCTTTTCACTCCAGAAGTGATGCCTAAGAAACCAACCTCAGACATTAAAACACCCAATGCCCCTCCTCTTCTATTCCTCTCTCCACAGCTACCCGCCTGTTAGGAGCTGCATTGTGTCCACCCAAAATTCTTATCTTGAGGACCTAACCCCCATGTGACTATATCAAGGCAGTAACTAAGGTTAAATGAGGTCACAAGATGAAGCTCTAATCCAACAGGACTGGTGTGCTTAGAAGAAGAGGAAGAGACATGAGAGACTCTTTCCTCCGCACAGAAGAAAGGCCCCATGAGGCACAGGGAGAAGGCCCCTGCCTACAGGCCAGAAGGCGAGGCCTCACTCCAAACCAAGCCAGCCAGCATGTTGCTCCTGGACTTCTAGCCTCCAGAGCTGAGTTTGTGGTTTAAGACACAGATCTGTGAGTATATTGCTATGGCAGTTCAACCTCACTCCAATACCTGATAATAATAATAATATACTGCATGCCTCCTATTGGTTAAACATAGGGTTTTTGTTTTCTTATTTAGTCCTCACCAAACATCTCAAGTAAGTGTCATTGGCTGTCTCCACCTAACAGACAGCAGACTGCCACTCAGGCAGCAGAAGAGGCCTGACCAGAGCTACATAGCTGTGAGGCCAGGGCTCAAAATGCTGGTCCTCTGCTTTAGGCAAAAGGCTGTGTTTTTGTTTTTGCTTTCATTCTCAAATCATAGTAATTAAGAGGAGCCAGACTATATGGTTCAAATCCTAGCACCAATTCTTCCTGGTTGCCCTTGAGCAAGTTACTTCAGTTCCCTGTGACACTATTTCTCCATCAAAAAAATAGACAATAGATTCTCCCCACATGGAAGGTTATTGTAAGAACAAAGTGAGATGATAAATGTGAATGCTTAGAACAGGACTGGCAGATAATGAGTGTTATGTGTCTCCTATAATTATCTTTAATACTATTATTAGTACATCATATTATCTTGGCATTGTGAGGTGCTTTGCCATACATAATCTAATTTCTCTACACAACAGCCCACTGAAATGTGGAAGCCAGATATTTTTATTATCCTATGATACAAATGCAGCTCAAAGAGGGTAAGCTGTGCTGAGAAGCTCAGAATTCTAAGGGAAGTTGCCGCGGCCCTTCCTATGACTCTGTACTATGCTGGAAGGAATCAAGAAAGTGCAGCACACAGCCGCAAAGCAATCCTAATTCACCCTGTGGGGCTCCCTCTGCTTGGTCCATCCCATGGGCCCAACTTCTTAGGGGAAAAGAGTCTCCCACTTACACAATCACTAGGACTGCTCACCTGTGGCAGAAGAAAGAACACTGAATATTTTTCTCCTAGAAATAAGTTATGTAAATATCCTTTCCTGAACATCAGTTTAAAGTGACTACTCACCCCAGAAACCATGTCCTGTATGACCTCTCTGCCTGCACTTACGTTAATCTTAATCTAAGGCTCAGGCGGGAGCAGGATCAGGGCTATTTATACACTTTATTCTTTACTTTGAGGGAGAGCCTCTAATAAAATTAACCCCTGGGGACTTCCCAGAGGGTATGAGATGTGCTGTTTGCTTCTGACTTCAAAAGTCATCACCTTCCTCCTGTTAAACTCATGCTTTTTATACCTTCCCTTACTGGATGTTTCCATTTGATTAAGCACAGGAGAAACTGCCATAGCCCATTAGAGAAAGAGAGAGAGAGACCAAGGGGTACAAGCCTGCCCCCCACGTAATTGAGAAAATTGTTCTCCAAGACACATTCTGGTCCTGCTGTCTTGCCCAACACAGCTTGGAAGCTTCAAGACACCCTACAGCGCTTGGCCCACAACCCATAAGAGTGGAAGCACACAGAAACCTTTGTATTACTTCTCTGAGTTTTAATCTTGTCTAAATCATTTGAAGGAGAAATACCCAACTCATAGCCACTGAGCCAAATGTCCCCAGATGCCTCATTCAGCCACCACAGTATATTCCATATTTGAATGCGAGTGTTTTGGGATACAGCATGATATCCCCAGTTCTGCCACAGACCGTACCATTCCAGGTCGCTGATTTACTCATTTATCTTTGCAACTCCTGAGTTCCAGAGTCTGAAATTTTCCACAGTGGTTTCTCTTCTTTAAATCTGCAAACACATCAGCATTCCCAAACCAAAGAAATGGCGCATCTGAAGGACGCGGCATTAGAATGGGTTGTGCTCAGGAGTGAGGCCACAGTGAAGGATGCCAGGTGCAGAGCTCACCAGCTCCACGATTCTAAACTGGGATAAGCCTCCCACCTCACTGGGCTCTGTCCTCCTCCCTCCAAAAGCCAGAGTTCTCTTTAGAAACACAACCCTCATCAGGCCACCTCTGCCTAAAGCCCAGCTGTAACGTCTCATCTGCTTTCATGATCAAGACCAAAATTCTCTGCAAGATCATTAACACACACACATATTTTGCCTGTATGTCCTTCTGATCACGACTTCGTTGGAGTGTCTTTAGTCTAGGCCCAGTTTCTTTGTTACTTGTAATAACTCGGTTTGAAAATACACATTAATCAATATGATTATTTGCAGGGCTCTCCCTCGCCCAGACTTTGAGGCCCAATAGTCCTGAAATGGCACCTACTTCAGCACACGAAGATGTCACCAGTGCCCCACTGAGAGACTGGAACACAGTATTGACACGTGAACATCGATCCGGTAAGTTCCTGAGTCCATAAACAATGAGTGGTCTTACTTTTCACCACCCTCACAGCAGCAGCAGCCATGAGCCCAGGGCTTTCCCTGGAGATGCCTACAAATCTTACTGGAACCCTCTGGAACTTAGATGGGAAAGAAAGCAGTGTCAAAGCATGGGCACCTGTGTGGCACACCTAGGGACCTCAGAGGCATGCCACTGTCTGCAAAGTACATGGGGAGGAGCAACATGCATTCTCAGGATGAAGGCAGCAGTGCTGTGGATTTCCCACCCAGAAGATTCATCTCCAGGGTCAACACAAGTCTCTGCCCAGGCAGCTCTGCAAGGATATTTTTGTTGTAAGGTCTAAACAACAGATTCTGAAGAAACTCTGACTTCAAAATCCTTAATCTAGAAATAGGGATAAAGATGAAGACTTGAGTTTTTTAATGACCCTAAGTCAATAATTGTTTACCTTATTTTCAACTTATTGCTCAACTTATTAAAAAAATAGAGCGACAGCTTTTCATCACCAATTAATTTTATTCTCTGTGGCCAGAAAGACACAAGAGTTTACAGCAGACTGGTCAGCGGATGGCATATGCCTTCCTGTTTACAGTGTTTACAAAGAACAGACCTCAGGTGTGATAGATGCAGCTCAGTGCGTCATGTCCCGTAGGTACAGCTGCTCATGGACCCTGGGCTGCGTGTTAACTGTGTGTATCCTGGCAACAGAAGCACTGCCCTCAGCATACCTTGGAGTAGCTATTCTACATTGATCTCACTCTCCTCACTACTAATCAATCTTCCTCTTTACGCATAATGCTGAGTTCCCAACCCTGCAACTGAGGAATTGTTACTTTTGCACAAGATTGTCCTTCACAAGTTCAGGAGATACCATTTCCTTGTTACATCTATTTCCCCACAATTTCACATAATTATCAGTGTTCCAGTTCCATCATGTGGCACATCATCAATCAAGTCAAGGTAGGGTAGTTAGTGCAGATTAGGCATAGATAGATACATTTCTTGTAGGAAGGTTTTAGAAAGTGTCCAGACATCAGCAGGCTGAATGACCCCATGGGTTGGAATATGAATTCAGTCATAGTGAACTAAGGCATGATCACAAAAAGTAATGGAAAAACCCTAAGAATGACCAGCTTGACCTTTCAAAGGTAAACAGATAATGAACAAAAGTGATGTCATCAGAATTCAGTGGGCGGAAAACATCCGGTAGCTCCAGCTGACACAGACAGATGAAGGAGAAAAGCTTCAACCTGCTGATAAGCAGATAAAGAGGTGGTAGCATCAGCTGCCTAAAACAAAATCAATGATGTAAAAACCTATTCGAACAATCTCTTCCCAGGAGATCTTTGGAAACTTTTTTTAAAAAATTCTCTTGGGAAGAAGATAACTCAAAAGTCAGAGTAGTGGTCAAAACATCTCAGGACGTAGTTTTTTCAGCATCAGGACAGAAACTTTGCAGTGCTGAGCGGGTTACTGGTTCCGGAAGCAGCAGGGCTTTTCAAAGGAGAGGAGAGGGCAGGAGGGAGACTCCAGTCTTCCTGGTCTTCCTGCATGCCTGAGGTTGAGGAAGGTTAACTCACTGTGAGGATGCCACTGTGAGAAAGATTGGGCTACCTGGATCTCCCTCCAGATCATCCTGCAGCAGAACATTCAGGAAGCATGCTCCTTTGAAAAATTCTGTCAAGAAAACTGTGCTGACTTGCAGCACTCTCAGTCAGAATCATTAGTGGAGCATCACACATCCAGACTTTGGGTTGGCCAACAGTAGTACTTTAGGAGGCTGGGAAGGGGCCTGCACAGCTGTGTGTACACAGGATCTAGAGGGGAGCCTGGTGCTCTGCCGGGACTGGGGATGAATAATTTGGAAGGGAGACACTGGGACAGGCTGCTAATGGGGAGGGGTCCCATAATGCCAGCAGACAGGAATTCCAGCAGCTGAGGGCCGTTGAGACACGGGCAGAAGAAGATGATGGTTCTTTACAATGTGTGGGGCATGGGCTCTTTTGAAAATTTGATTTAAATAAAACTACAAATTATCTTCCCACACATTTGGGGAAAAAATTCAAAAAATTATATGTAGGTTTTACAAATCTAAGGAATCTATTCTCGACATTGATAAGTCAGAATTAAGAAACAGAGAAATCACAGCCACCTTATGTATCAACAGACACCTGCCACACAGGTTTAAGTCTTAAAAATAATATCCAGGGTTTTCATGATGTCAGAAATAACTACATCAATTTCAAACCAGAGCAGGCAAATGGTATTAAGTTCATACTTGTAACTCTTAATTTACCCCAATTTGTCTTAATATAAACTAAATCAGTAAGAAGCAACTTAAAGAAGTTTCTTGCCTCAAAAATAAAATGTTAATGTCTTACACTCCAGAGACCCACACCAATGTGGGTACAGTTTAAAGCTGAGGCAAGTTAGCAACGTTCCCAGTGGTAAAAATAATTCATGCCCAAAAGTGATCAGACAGCTGCTAAGAAGTCCACAGGTCCAGGAGGGACCTGATCAAATAAAAAGACAAAAGTAAAAGGTAATATTGTCTGCCTTTCCCACAAACAAGAAAATTTGCTTTCACTCTCCTGTTTGGCCCCATTGTCAGTCTGTCTACCTATCCAGCATTTTCTTCTCTTGGAAATAGAAGACACACTGACCACTGGATACAGTAATTGATCAGATAACTCTGAAGATCCCTTCCAAATCTTACAGTCAATTATTCAACGACCTCTATATGGGAAGAAGACAGCAGAGGGAAAATACCCAGTGGTAAATGAAATAACAAATGTGAAAGTAGGTTGTAAATTGTGGAATTCTGTGGAAGAAGTGGAGCATCATTATTTAGAGAAAAAAGTAGGTTAAGGGTATTTTTAAAAAGAACTTGATTATAGTAACAGAATTCTCCCCTCTTACATCCTGAAAATAGAGATGAAACTCACACAGATGAATCTCTTCTTTCTCCAGCATCAAAGTATGCCAAAATACAAGTCCACTAATTCACTTGGAAGGTATTTAATTCACTGATTACATAATTCTTGGAGTTAGTGAAGATTTCAAGAGACATGTTTCTGGTACATGTAATAAACTAAGCATATTTCTGAATATCAATAGTATCCACAATAAAGACTTCATGTATGCAAACTGTGCACATAAGCAATGACTGAGAAACAGACAAACAAATGGCTATACAAATCTCACAATTACTGAACTGGTTTGATTTACAAACTTGATTTACTCTGCAAGCAAGTTGGAAACATCTTTGGAACAGATGGCCCTTGTAATCAGTGATCCTCTTCCCTCAGTGGTAAACCTGGGGTTGAGACATTAGTGCTATTAATTGTTTCCACTTGTTTGACACTCTAACTTATAATAGCTTTCAGATCATTCTTGCAGAAAATGAACCGGCAAGTTTCCTAGAACTTGTCAATGAGAGCATCATTAAAGGGGTCATGTGTTAGCACAGCTTAGCAGCCCAAAATGCTGAACATATTCCTAAAGGAAAAGCAAATCTCCAGGGGGCCAATAAAAAATAAAGGGGGTGGGTATAGCTATAAAAATAGATTTCCTTTTTACGGAAGAAATGAGGAAAAAGTGAAGAAAGGAGGGAGGAAAGAAAACCAAAAGAAAGGCAAGAGAATATTTTTTAAAGTTTGCAAAAGAGAATAGAAGAGATATATTCTCTCGCTTCTTACTTCCTTCAAAATGACATTTGAAAAACAAAAACAAAAACTAAATCACCAGACACAATGGCTCATGCCTGTAATCCCAGCACTTTGGGAGGCTGAGGTGGGAGGACTGCTCCAGTCCTGAGTTAGAGACCAGCCTGGGCAATAGCAAGACCTCATCTTTACAAAGAATTAGCCAGACGTAGGAGTGTGTGCCTGTAGTCCCAGCTACTCAGGAGGCTGAGGTAGAAGGATCACTGAGCCTGAGCCCAGAAGATCAAGGTTGTGGTGAGCTGTGATATGCCACTGCACTCCAGCCTGGGTGACAGAGTGAAACCCTGTCTCAAAAAAAAAAAAAAAAACTAAAAAAAAAAAAAAAATTATTAACATGACATCTTGAAACTGAAGTCTTGGCTGGGCATGGTGGCTCACATCACATCAATCCCAGCACTTTGGGAGGCCACAGGTGAGAGGATTGCTTGAGTCCAGGAGTTTGAGACCAGCCTAGGTAACACAGCAACACTTCATCTCTTAAAAAAAAAAAAAGTAAAGTCTTACTTCATCTAACTTTTAATGGGTAGTCAAAATGGAATATATTACAGAATTATTCTGCAGAGATGTATTACAAAATTATTTTTAAAATATTAATTACGTATTTGCCATCAAGTTATCTAACATATGACAGCTAGAATATTTTTGGTAAAATCCTAATTGAAGAAAGAGGAGTGAATAAAAGAACAGAAGGTATTTCCAGCCTCATAGGTTTACGAAGCAATGCCAGATTTCAATATTAATAGAAATGCCATCACTTTTAGAAATAAAAGTACGTGATGCCTTCACAAAAGCTAGAAACTCTTTTACAAACAATGTACCATGGTGTGCTGGCAGACACTTAACAATGAGCTCTGGTTTGTAGCCCTGCCTATTTCCACGGTGTAAACACTCCCACTCTGGCCAATGTGAAGCTACCAATGTGAGGTCACTTGGCCTGCAAATATCCCCCCAATTTTTTTTTAAAGGCTCTCACAAGCCAGGACAAGCCTACTCTAGCACCCTGTATATGGAAAGCAATTATTTGGGACATAGAGCTTCCAGTTTCTTCACAACTTCTCCAAAAGGGGAAGCTGAGGTCTAAGAAACCTGAAGAATTTTCAAACACATTCTAAGAAATATACCCTGATGAGTCTCCTCCCTATCACTTTTCATTATGTTTTATTTCACGCTGGAAGAATTAAAAGAGATTTGTTTTTGGCTTTTAGCTTTTTGTAGTATTGATACAGAGCTGTTACCAAAGCAGGGCAGCCACCACCACCCCTTATCAGTTCAACTTCTGGGAAGGAATGGTGGAGAAGTAGGAATTTCTTTTGACTGAGTAAGCTATCCTAGCAGTGACTGATTCACCAGAATACATCAGCCTTTGCTCTGAAGTTGGCCGTAGTAAGTCAGAGAAGAAACTTTACTTTCACCTAATAAATAGTTTTTCTATAATATTTATCAACAGTAATATTAAATGTATAAAATTCCTCCTGCTCTCCCTGTTGTCTTGTTCTATAAGGCTGTCTTCAGGATGAGAAAGGCAATATAATTTCTGTGCCCATTCACAGAAATTCATAATCTGAAATTCACAGAACCTAGTTATTACAAATTAGTGATGTGAAACGCTTCATTGTTGCTACCCAAAGAGAAGCTGCCTGTGGAAGACTTTAGATGCAGAGAAAGCTGGACTTGTTTTTGAGAACATCATTAGGTGAGCACAGAGGTGTCTTAGCATACAAATCAAATAGGGCAGATTGTTTTATTTAGTTTGGTGATCTGAAATCTTTCTGTAGATACTAAACACCAAGGAAGACCAAGATTATTTTTTAACATACTGCGGCAATTATTGACCTCATCAAATGCTTATTCAAATGCCTTTGTGTGTTTTTTTCACTTTATTGGACCTTGGAGCAGCTCTTTTTTTTTTTTTTCCAGTTTCTCATTCCGTCACCAAGGCTGGAGAGCAGAGATACAATCACAGCTCACCGCAGCCTTGATCTCCTGGGCTCAGGTGATCCCTCCACCTTGGCCTCCCAAGTAGCTGGGACTATAGGCTTGCGGCACCACACCCAACTAATGTTTGTATTTTTTTGTAGAGACAGGCTCTGGCTCTGTTGCCCAGGCTGCTCTAGAACTCCTGGACTCAAGCAATCACCTATCTAGGTCTACCAAAGTGCTAGGATTACAGGCATGAGCTACCATGCCTAGCTGAAACATCCTTTAGAATTATTGGTTTCTAGTTATTTTATATAACTCTCTTAGAAAATAAGACAAAATGGAAAGATAGATCACTAAGATGTGAAGCACCAAGCAGCATTAAATGAGCTGGCACTAGAAGCAGGGGACAAAAAGCGTGAATGGAGATGCCTATGGCAAGTGACGATGAGTCAGGCTTTGACCATTCTCTCCTTAACATATTTGTTGTGATTTGTATATTTTGGAAAATAATTTCCATGAGAAGAGAAAAGAAGTTTAAGCAGCAACATCAAGCTTCTGAAGGTTGAAAGCTCTTCAAGTTTTCAAAGGCTGTTCTGTGGGGAAGGATTTAATTCATTCTGAAAAACTCCAGAGGACACAATTTGAATCAGTAACTAGAAGGTTCAAAGAGAGACTATAGTACAGTCGCAGAACACACTTCCTCGGAGTCATCTTGCCACTGCAAGACTGCAAGACTGAAGGGCTGCAGTGAGGTCATGAATTCCCGCAGAAGCAGAAGGGCACCTGAGAGACAGGCTGTGCAGGCTGGATGGGGTGATCTCTTCAGCATCCTGTGACTTGGGAGAAGCCAGGTCTCTGTCTCCTGCTTGATAGACTCCAGGTGTTCAAGCTTCTAAAGCTATCCTGTACAAACCCTGGCTCTCAATAAGCATTAGTCGACAATTCTGATAGTTCTCTGGAACAGGGAGAAAACTGTAGATCACCATGGTGAACTAAGGCATGATCACAAAAAGTAATGGAAAAACACTAGGCCCTCTGCCAGCCATCTCTCCATATGGCACACCAATAAATGACCAGTTCGTCTTTCAAAGGTAAATAGACAGAGAATGAGCAAAAGTGATGCCATCAGAACTCCGGGGGTGGGGGGCGGTGGGGGGAACATGTCAGACAACTCCAGCAGACACAGGCAGGTGAAGGAGAAAAGCCTCTACTTGCTGAAAAGCAGATAAAGAGGCAGTAGCATCAACAGCCTAAAACAAAATAAATGATATAAAAACTTATTTGAACAATCTCTTCCCAGGAGATCCTTAGAACCTTTTTTTTTTTTTTAATTCTCAGGAAGAAGATAACTCAAAAGTCAGAATAGTGGTCAAAACACCACAGGATGTAGTTTTTCAGCATCAGGACAGAAGCCTTGCTATGCTGACTGAGCACTGTTTCCAGAAGCAGCAGACGATGCAGCAAGCCCTTTCAAAGGAGAGGAGAGGGCAGGAGGGAGGCTCTGGTCTTCCTGCATGCCTGAGGCTGAGGAAGGCTACCTCGCTGTGAGGATGCCCCTGTGGGAAGACTGGGCTGCTTCGGTCACTCTCCAGATCATCCCGCACCAGGACATTCAGGAAACATGCTCTTTTGAACAATTCTGTCAAGAAAACTGTGCTGACTTGCAGCACTCTCAGTTAGAATCATTAGTGGAGCATCACACAACCAGACTTTGGGTTCCATAGCCAAGGATTGTACTTCACGAGGCCAGGAAGGGGCCCGCGCAGGTGTGTCTGCACGGGGTCTAGAGGCAACCCTGGTGCCCTGCTGGGACTGGGGACAAATGATTTGGAAGGGGGACACTAGGACAGGCTGCTAAAGGGGAGGGGTCCCACAAGGCCAGACGACAGACAGGAATTTCAACAGCTGAGGGTCATTGAGATAGAGGCTAAGGAGAGTGATGGTTCTTTACAAAGTGTGGGGCATAGATGGACTCTTTTGAAAATTTGATTGAAACAAAACTAAAATTATCTTCCCATACATTTGGGAAAATTTTTCACAAAATTATATGTAGGTTTTACAAATCTAAGGAAACTTATTCTAGACATTTATAAGTCAGTATCAAGAAACAGAAATCATAGGCACCATAAATATCAATAAACACTGCTACACAGGTTTGTTTTCTTTTTTAATTGCTATACAATAGTTGTACATATTTGGGGGTCCATATGACACTTTGACACATGTGTGCAATGTGTAACGATCAAATCTGGGTAATTAGAATATCCATCACCTCATTTATTTTTTCTTTGTGTTGGAAACACTGCAATTCCTCTCTTCTCGCTATTTTGAATATACAGTAAATTCTTATTAACTATAGCCACCCCACTGTGTTATTAAACACTAGTCCTATTCCTCCCATGTACCTGTATTTTCATACCCACTAATCATCCTCTCTTCACCCCCCTCTCCACCCTCCCCAGTCTCTGGTAACCATCATTCTACTCTCTCCAACCATAAGCCCCACATTTTTAGTTCCCACGTCATTGGTAACACACATTTGTCTTTCTGTGCCTACACAGGCTGTTTACTGACCTCAGACAAGTAGACTTTTGCACATCCTTCCTTACTGCAAAAAGAACCATGCAGAAAGGTAGCAAAACGGCACTGTTTAAAAAGGGGGTGGGGGGGGACTTGGAGACACAGGCTCGGGTCAGACAGACCAGGGGTGAATTTCAGCTCTAAGGTTGTATGTTTAAGCTTGAACAAGTAACCCCTTCCACCAGCCTCCATTTCTTTTCTGTAAATTATCTCATTAAGCTCTCTTCTGTCAAGTTGTTGAGAGGATATAAGTAAATACATGGATGAGACATTTTGCTCCATGCCCAACAACTAGTAGGTAGGCAATAAATGGAATTAGTATTGCCCACAACTCACACTGTGAACAATATTAGGAACGATCTTCCCTACTGGAGACAAAGAAACTTCTAATAGGAAGATCAGGAGCCCCTGGGATTGTTCAAAAAGGTGCAGAACCTGAGTGGGTTTGGAAAATGAAGCAATTCTTCCAGGAGCAGACATGACATCAGCCTGGTCCAGACCCATCCCACAGGGCAGGGCTCCTCCAGTGTGGGAGCACTGGAAGCAGCTGAACATGCTGCCAAACGCAGATTCCAACTCACTTGACCTGAGCAGGGCCTGAGAGGCTGCAGCTATGACAAGCTTCTGGGGTGCCACAGGGTGCCTGAGGACCACTCTGAATGAAAGTAGAGGGTCCATTCACACCTCCAAAATCAAGAGTGGAGGAAAAAGAGAGACAGCAGATGAGACTGACTTTTAAATAGTAAAAACAAACAAAAACCACTTTAAAAACTTGAATGCTTTTCCTTACTGTTGGTTCCTCCATCAACTTGAGTGCCCACCAACCAAAAGGCGTAAATTTTCTTTTTTTCTTTTTTGAATTGGAGTCTTACTCTGTCGCCCAGACTGGAGTGCCGTGGCCGCTCCCGGCCACCACAGCCTCGACTTGCTAGGCTCCGGCGATCCTTCTGCCGCAGCCTTCCAAGTAGCTGGAACTACAGGCGTGTGCTACCACACTCGGCTAATTTTTTTCATTTATTGTAGAGATGAGGTCTCACTAAGTTGCCCAGGTGGGTCTCGAACCCGTGGGCTCAGGCAATCCACTCACCTCAGCCTCCCAAAGCGTGGGATTACAGGCTGAGCCACCGAGCCCAGCAGGCGTACACACAGTCATATAAATGTTAAACAGTATGACCAAAAAGTATGCCACCGAGCCCAGCGGGCGTACACACAGTCATATAAATGCTAAACAGTATGACCAAAAAGTAACTGCTGGTGTGTATTAAAGCTGATGTTAGAAGCAGGAATAGGACAAACTGAAATAACTCTCCCATGCTCCAGAACTAGTCAGAGGACAGAAGCACACATAGCTCTTCCTGGTTTTAAGTTTAATATTTACATTTTAAATATACATTAAATTTATGCAAGGTTTTACATTTTTAATGTACTTGTGAATAAATTACAAGTAATCATGAATCCTTACAGGATATGAACTATCGTATTTTGCTTGCGGTTCTCTCACTAAAGTACTTCCAAGGTTTTTACTGATTGCAACTATTCTAATTTTACCTCCCATTCAGTCTCATCATCTTCTGCTACTCTTTCATTTATTTTTTCGGAGACTAGAATAAGATCTTTGGGGGGAAAAAAATTTCCCAGTGAAGAGGAATAATAAAATGAAAGACAAAAATCCTATACAAGTTCAAGTAGATACTAAACAGATACACACTGGCTCCCATGAAGACTTGAGATGTCTGATTTTACAACAGTTTTTTGTTTGGGGGGATTTTTTTTTTAGTTGGAGTCTCACTCTGTCGCCCAGGCTGGAATGCAGTGGCACACTCACGACCACCCCAGCATCAACCTGCTGGGCTCTGGCAATCCTTCCTCCTCAGCCTTCCAAGTAGCCTGAACTACAGGCGCGCACTACCACGCCTGGTTAATTTTTTTTTTTTAATTGTAGAGACGAAGTCTCACCAAGTTGCCCGGGCTGTACAATAGTTTGTATTATCTGTCCCTTCCCTTATGTTAATTTAAATAAATATTCTGCAAACATTCAAAAGTAAAAAGAATACTGAAATATTTTACAAAATAAAATATAAACTACCTGGCTTCAATGAAGAAGTAAAGACAGTTACTAAATATTAAGTAATCATCTTTAACTGTATGTGTCCCCCAAGTAAGAGCATCTATACTTTCAAAAACACCAACTTAAAATGTTATATTGAAATTCATCATTGTTTTAACTAATAAGTTCATGATTCTTTTAAAGCTACTTAAGATTATTATTTAGATGGCTTGTGATATCTTGTCAAAAATATTGAAATATTTCTTTGTGAACAAAATCAACAACTGTCTTTTTTCAAGTTTACTGATCAAAGTCATCATGTATTAAGTTTCTATTTTTTAAAAAAGTCTAACTGCTTAACAGCTCAGAAAAAAATAACTGTATCCCAAGCCCAGCAATAGAAAACAATTACTGGGAAGATAATTAAATAAAAAATTATCAAAAAATCCCACATGAAATTGCATGAAACCAAAGTAAACAAATAAAAACCTAGATATGTTTGTTACATATTTCAATTTCGAGGGGAAGAAATACTGTAGTTTTTTTTATACGTCATCTGTTACTCCCTGTTCCTCATTTACCAACCACCTTCCTGCCTTCACATTTACTTCAACCCATGTATCTGTGTCCCCTACATCCAAGATATTAAAAGACACACCTAGTAGAGCAATAAGGACCGGTATGAAAATTAACAGGAGTCACAAAAGTATTAGGTATCTTCTCAAATAAACAGGTATTCTTGGAGGGTGAAATGATAACTCAACATAGTTGGTGTCATGCTTAAACATGCTCACACACATGTCAGTATCCAAACATTTCCTGACCTCCATCCCATCTTATCCTTCTTTGAATTCATGGTATAAATGAGTACAATATGGTTATGACATCAGTAAACACAGGCTAATCATGTCAGAAGTAAACTGTCTCAGTAGGCCTAGAATCTGAGGGCTGGTCATAATAATAACGGCCTGCATGTGCTTAGGGCATACCCTGTGGCAGGGACATTTCAAGGGCTTTCTATGTATTAATTCATTTAATGCACACACACACACACACACACCACTGAGGCAGATGATCCTTCTGCCTCAGCCTCCCAAGCAGCTAGGGCTATAGGCACACACCACCACGCCTGGCCGATTTTTTTTTTTTTTTGAGTTGGAGTCTCACTCTGTCACTCAGACTGGAGTGCAGTGGCCGCTGCCAGCCACTGCAGCCCTGACCTGCTGGGCTCCGGTGATCCTTCTGCCTCAGCCTTCTGAGTAGCCAGAACTACAGGC